CAACGGCATGAAAAAAGTGGTTTCTACTTTTACTTTTATACTTTAAGTAAATTTACAAGCCTGTACTTTGTTACTTTTACTAGAGTAAAGAAGTTTAATCAGTACTTCCACTTTTACCAGAGTATTTTTTAACACAAGTATCTATACTTTTACTCAAGTACGGAAAGTGAGTACTGTTGCCATCTCTGCTATTAGGACAAAAGATAAAACACAGTTTAAGAGGTGTACATACACTTGTCGTTAAATGTTGGGTTGTTTTTTTTAACCCAGCTGCTAGGTTGAGCATGTTGGGTAATTTAATAGAGTTATTTTCATTGAATTGGGTATTCTGACAACCAAATAAGTCAATTATAAATCAATTACTAATACAGTAATATTTGTTTTCTTTAACTGTTTAAAGTGTAAGTAACAGTTAGAATCGAGTAGAGCATTGTTGCCAAGGCAAGTAGTCAAGGTTCTGTTTCACAGCACCTGGCCTTGGCCTTTTTACCTTACTGTCTTTTTTGTTTGTTTTTTTTTTTTTTTTTTTTCATAAGTTGGAACTAAAATGTGGGAGGACTTGGAGAAAGTAGAGTCCTCCAGGTCACATCCATTTTATGCTGCTCAAGCCTTGTGATCTCGGTTAACAATATAAAAACTGTGGCAGCTCTTGATGTGTGCTTAAAAAGACTTTTACTTTCCACTTGCACTGAAGGACTGTAAGCCTATATGACTATTGAATGGAAATTCTGTATGTTTATATATTTTTTTACTTTTTGTGCTCTATAAATTCTGTTAATAAATAAATATTAATAGTGAAATAGTATTTATAATTAGAATTAATAAGTAATGTATATTATTGTAATATGATAAAATAATTATTACATATATCAGTATGTAAAATAATAACTAAATATCAACAACCAAATTTGTTGGATTAGAGGAACTATGGAGTGTAGTCAGTTTGGGACCAAACCCAAGTTTTTGGGTTAAATTAACTCAGCGTGTGTTATGTCTAATATTCAATCAGCTCTGAGTTGGTAGACTACCCAAATTGGGTTGTTTTTAACCTAGCATTTTTTGCGTGTATCAACATACAGTGCTTTTCATAGTCTATACATTGAGGGAAAACTAAACCATTTAACATTTCTGTTTGGGATTCATGTCTGGTTGGAACAACTTAACAGTGTAAAGGTTTCGGTCAATTTACCTCTTTGATAGAGGTAAACCAGAAATGGCCTCTACCCTTTACAGTCAGGGGACTTTAAATTGCTTTACACTACATTCAGTCAATCAAGATGAAGAATATGAAGTTGTAGTTCATCATTCCTGATTATTCCATCTACTTTGGTTTAAACCCTTAATATGATGCTGTGTTATGGTTAAGAGGGAGTAGTGTTTTCTGATTTACAAACTTTTTTCAAAGGTGGTCCAAATTAAACATCAAAGATACGCATGAAGACAGATTAATATGAAACTGATTCTAATTAGCACTGTATGTTACTTCTGACTTGACCTAACATTTTCATATTCCCTTTAGGAGCTCTGTCTGTGTGAGTTGTTTTTCTACCTGGAGGACAGGGTTGTGGTTTTGCGCTGCCTTTTGGACAGTAATAACCTGCAGGACAGACGTCTCCATGGGCTGTATCATCACCAATTTGGGTTGAAAATGCTACTGCTGGAAGACACAATACATTGTTATTAGATTCCTTTTGTAGTTTTGTTAGCAAACTGGCTGACACGCCAAAATTATTTTCAGACATAAAATAATAATAATTGAATTAAAAAACTAGAACTAATCAGAAAATGTTGAAAGGTATTAGAAATCCTTAAAAATTGATAGAGGGACAATTTAAGTTACTTTGTATTTCCTTAGAAATATTTTACCAAATGACTTGTTCAGAATATTGCTATGCATTATATATACAGTCGTATGTTTATATCACTTTTTTTTTCACCAGTGTTTTTTTCATCATTGTGTTTTTATCACTGCTGCTTAGCTTTATCGAGGCTGCACTTAAAAAAAATGAAAAAGTCTAGAGAGCTGTACTAAACGAAATTTCTTTTTGCACACATTAGACAAATCTGTCTAAGTCTAATTTAATATAGTAATCAGAAGTGCAATGAGTGAAATAGTACTAGTGGTATTTCCCGAAGGTGAGGCAGCTGCTGATCCCTCTCTACAGAAGAAACCAGGGTTGCAGAGTCCAGATGGAGAAGATGCTCCTGGCTTCGCACAGTAGTGGCCGGGCAAACATGGCTGACATACTTCTTGAGACACTGCACCTAATATGAAATAGAAAAAAAAAATGTTGAACAAAAGAAAAAAAATAAATAAATTTGGTATAAAACTGTAGTTAGTTCCTGGCTTTTCAATGGCTTATTTTTGATTATCAGGATAAAAAACTGATAAAAAAATATCAAGTGGCCATTAAAATATTGCATTGCAAGCTATGGGTAAGATGAAAAAAGTATTTTCAAGTCCCTCAATAATAAACTCTAAATCGGATAATGAGTGTGAAACTTTATCTTCATTCATGTCTTTAATTTACTTTTATCATTTGATCTAATGCATCTGATTTACTTAATTTTCTGCCTTTTTATCATGGTAATATAATCTCATGTTTTGTAATAAACACTATTTATATATTTATCTATCTATTTTCTTTTTACAGCAGAATAAATTATGTGTAAATAATAATAGATGCTGCATCTGTGCTTTATCATATTTATAACTGACCAAAACCTCAACAGTGATTTAAAACTGTGACATATTCATTTTGATGATTGTTTAAAAACAGTTTTAGCATTTTTTTGCAAAGTTTTTTTTTTTTTTTTTTCATTCCATCACCTGCTATGGAGCTAAAGGTGCCAGCAGGGCAAGGAACCATGTAGTTTGTTCCCTGTGGACAGTAGAACCCAGCAGAGCATGGCCGTCCTGTTGGACCCTCCTCTGGTTGGGAGGAAACAGAGCCTTGGATACAAAGGAAACTATGGAGAGAGAGGACAATTAAGCAGAGGTAATCTGGTGTGTTATGTGAACAAATAATAGAAAAACAATTTCAATTAAACGTAGATGGTCTACAATCTTTGTGGGTAAATAACAGCTTTATTTTACCCAGGAGAGCAGACCCCAGAGGGAGCAGCTAGACCAGAGGAACTGCAGTATCTCCCAGGTGGGCAGAGCTCACAGTCTGACTTATTGGACAACCCCATCTGGTTGCTGAAAGTGCCAGCTGGGCATGGGAATGCTACACCAGTCTGGGTTCCTGTAAAACATTTATTTTGTCTACAGATGGCTGAGGGCTAAACATCAAAGAACAATTTATGGTGACCATGTCCACCTCGATTATGCTCAGCAATAGCCATTAGTGTAATTGGAAAGCCGTTTAGTGGTTCAGTCACTCATTCAGGGGAGCAAACAAAACAAGTTCAGTAATGCACTCTGTTTACAACACGTAATATTCCAACAACCAGTCTCACAGGGGCTGGGTGCAGCACTAGTCACATTTATTGTTGACAACGTAGTGCAAAAAGGCTGTACATTTGCTACAAAGGTCATTTAATATTCACTAGATTATAGCTTACCAGGTGGGCAATAATGTCCTTTAGGACAAGGCATGGGAGTTTGAGTTCCTGACACATTGCCAGCATCTGCATTGATCGAACCAGGACAAAAAAATCCAGCTGGACATTCAATACAGTCTGCCTGTGGGAAAGTAATTATCTTTAGACAAAACTAAGCTTATAATGATTATCCGGGCAATAGATTTTTAACACAAGGTGCTAAAGATTTTTTATGAGATCTAAAACTATAATAAAAAATGCTTATCCTCACCTGACCGGGCAAGTTTTGATAAGTCCCAGGCAAGCAGGACAACTGCCTATTAGATCCAGGTGGACATTTACTTCCAGGTGAGCAGGTGATACTGTCCTGCCAGTTGCTGTTTTCACTGCTTGGACAGTAAAATCCAGCTGGACAAATATGAGAAGGAAAAGAGAGCCCTCTACTGATACAAAGAAAACCTACAAAACAAAAAACACATTTGTTAGGCAGTCCTGCTACAGTTTCATTGGATTAATACCAAATAATTCAAATTGGTTCCAACCTGGAGGACAAGGCAGGCAGTCAGTGATATGACTGTTTCTGCTTTTGTTGCTGTAATGTCCTGAAGGACAGGGAAGAGGTGCAGAGGAGCCCTGAGTGCAGTAATGTCCTTCAGGACATCTACCACCAGTCACCCCTCCATCCTCTGGTGTGGGCGACCAAGCACCAGAAATACAGTAGTACCCTGCACTACAGAGGCCTGATGCAGCAGCTTTGCCAGGAGTTGCACAGAACGAGCCTGGTTGGTATATAACAAAGAAGGTGTTTTTATCTCTCTTGTGCTAGAAATAATTTTAAGTTTCATTGGATTTACATAACTAACATTACATCTAAACATATTAACAGCTCACTCCAAAGAGGACAATAATTTAATATCAAGGTTTTTGAATTACCATCATTCATTACCATCATATTATCTATTTATCAACCGCTACATTTTTAATCAATCATAGCAGTAAATAATGTTTGACCTGGAGGGCATGGCAAGCAGTCCTGGGGTTTTGTCATCTGAGTGCGAGGGTTGAAAGTTCCAGCTGGACATGGGAACTGGAATTTGGACCAAGTCCCGGTCGGGCAGTAATGACCCAATGGACACTCCAAACTCTCCAGCAGAGAGTTGTTATTGTTGCCAGGGCAATAAAATCTGCTTAGGCAAAACAAAAATGTAATAATATTTTTGTTTACTTCTGATGGCAGAAAGGTTTGTACTGTATATAGTCCTTTTCAGTATACAGAAAGAAAAAAATATATAAAAAAAAATATAAAAAAAACATATACATATCTGTATATGTATATTCATTTAGAATATATATAAATTTAGTGTATATTCTAAATGTATATACACTTACATTTGGAAATCCCTTACATTTGGAAGGATAAATACTATGTTCAATGTACAACTGATGTACGACTGATAAGTAAGCATACCCCTGGGGACAGACACTGCAGCTGGCTTGGCCATCTTCTGCACTGATGGTTCCCAGGGGGCAGGGTTGAGGAGCTGCAGAACCCCCTGAACAGTAATAACCTGCTTGTGCAAAGACAAGCACCATGAAAGAGACGAACACACATAATGCACAGGAAACAATTTGATTACTATTCCCAACAGAGCAGCTACTTCTGTTTGGTGCCTTTAGCTTGGAAGAGCCTGCTGTTTATTTGTATGCTGAGTTCGCTTAAAGTTTATGTCAATAAAAATGGATGTGTTAAGAGCTAACACATCCCATTTGTACTTTTTCTTAGAAGTCATAAAACATAGTTTTATACTGTACTGTTTTAGCAAAAATAAAAACCTGATCATATTGCATGACATATTACCACATATTTACACATCTCAGTAGTAATTCATTTCCTTCCTAAAATGATCTTATACATTTTGTAGAAGCTGATATGGATCATTGATCACCTTTTGGGCATGGACCTCCGCGGTTGTCTTTGAAAGGAGGGTCAGGACGATCTGCACCCTCAGCGCAGAAGAATCCTTTCCAGCATTTTCCTGAAGGTGCTGAGAGCCCCACTGAGTCACAGTAGTAACCCGGGGAACATGGCTGACAATCCTCCTATAAGAAGATAAAAAGCACGAGGCAGGATATTAACTGTTTAAAAAAATGGAAACTGGTAAATTGGAAAAGTATCCCCAACCAGTTTACTGGTGGAACCAATCCTTTTGTATCATTTTAACTTTGATGTATTTTAATGGGACATTGTGTGATAACCAACACAAACTTGTTTGCTAAGGTAGAATTAAAAGAATGTACAATTTAAAAAGTTAAAACGAAGTTTAAAAAGAAAAAACAGAAGAAAGGCTTCCAAAGAATGATGCTGCCATTGCAAAGTATTAACCTGTATCCATTGTTTCTGAAATCTTTATGCCAGTTTGTCTTTTGTTTATTTACTTTTTGTAAAAGCAAAATAGCTCAAAAAAGATTGCTCTTAATAATTATATTAAAAATTGCATCTTTAATCATGTAGGCGATGAAAAAAAAAAAAAAAAACAAAATCCCGGTTTCTTTCCAACCTTGGACACAGCTTTGGTGATGTTAGAGAATGTTCCTGGAGGACAGGGCTGAGGATGAATGGTGGCCTGGGGACAGTAGTGTCCAACTGGACAAAGTCCTCCTCCTCCTCCTGGTAAGAGACGCTCGTCTCAAACAGAACACCAGAAGAGAACCACTTAAGACATCAACAAATAAAACAGCAGAACCAAATGGGATCACCTAAAGTAAATGAGTGACACTGGAAAGCAAATACATTTGTTTACCTGCAGCCTGTGAGAGAGGCTGGGGAGAGATGTTTCCATGTGAACAGTAGTATCCTTCCTGGCACGGTCCAGTGACAGCTGTGGCATTTTTGGAGGAGCAGTAATGGCCTCCATCACATTGTCTGCACTGGGAGACAGACCAGTAGCCAGGATCTGGACCATAGGTTCCTTCTGGACAACTTCTTAAGGTAAATCCAGTCCCTTCAGGACAGTAAAATCCTGAAGTGCAAAGACAAAAAACAGAAATAGAAAACTAAGGAAAATAGATATTACTGGATAACTGTACGCTTCTTTGGTGCTTTTTTGGCAACAGCTCTGTGGTATAGTTACACATAAATATAGACTTAATTAGATTTTTTTTTTTTCAGTTTATGTTTATAGAGAACAAACAAACAAACAAAAAAAACTACAAACCTGCAGGACAGAGGTGCAGAGAGCCAGACACACAGAACCAGCCTGGGAGACAAAGCTCACACTGACTTGCATGTGTTATAGCTACATAAGTCCCTGGATCACAAGGCAAAGGTTTAACTGTTCCCTCAGGGCAGTAGTGACCCTCAGGACAGGGTCCTCCTGAAATTCCATCAATGGGGGTAGATATGACAGCTCCCCCCAAGCAGTAATATCTGCATAAGAAATACAACAAAAGGAAATCAGTTTGACGAAAAAAAGGCCTGTATAGCTCTGCTCTAAAAAAAACGTAGCTGTACCCTTCACTACACAATCCACTAGGTTTAGTAAGGCCAGCAGAGTCACAAAAATATCCCCCCAAACAAGCTTTACAATCTTCCTGGCTACGCAAGCCCAAGCTGTTTGACCAACTTCCCTCAGGGCAGGCTTGGGGGGCTGCAGTGCCTTTAAAGACAAGATGAAGAAAGCTGCATTAAAAAGGAGTTTGCATAAAACAGTGAATATTCAAAGAATATTATGAATGTGGTGTTTGGTGAAATTATACAGTGTGACAATGCCTCACATAGTATGATCACATAAGAGCAAGGTATTAAAGAGACCCTCCTGATGAATGTTGGGTGCAGCGTTGGTGAACTGACAACAAATCACGTTTGCCTTGAAGCAGCGTTTTTAAGAGATGGGTCAGCCAAGTAAAAGAGGGCATGCATGGGAACTAACTTCAAAGACAACAGGAAAGCAAAAGTCACAATACATATGTTGTCGGGGTTTGCTGATGGCCTCCAAATGGGAATTAGCATGAATAATACATTATAGCTATACACTGTAATGGGCCAAAATGTTAATATTGTCCTTCATTATACATTATTCTACACTGCACTTAAATGAGTAGGAGGTTTTTAATGCAATATTTTACAAACAATACCTCAACAATATCCAGTGCCTATATGGCAACGTTGTAAGCTTACCGTATTAAAGAAAATGTATGTGTGTGTGGGGTGAGGGGGGGTCACAAGGAGGTAACAACCTGAAGAGCAGTAATAACCAGGAGGGCACAGAGAGCCTGAGAAGTCATCCTTGGGGGAAGGTGAGAATGATCCAAGTTTGCAAAAATATCCAGCATTGCATGGTCCTATGTGTGGAAGGACATTTAGATAGTTCATTGATCTATTCAAGACAAATCTACAAGTCTCCAAAGCTTTGCACAGACCACATTTACCAGGGAATCACTCAAATTAGGAGTGGACAAATAAGTATCCTAAAATGATCTTTCAAATTTTACTTTGACGTGTTTTGTAGATCTATAAACTAAGATGGTGTATCTACTTGAAGGTTTTTATCTAAACAATAAGACTGGACAAATAAAATCTAAACATGCAAGGTCTTTATTTTGTTTATGTTTTGGGACAAAAAAATTTTAGATTTAGGAAAGAACTGGGTCAAAACAAGTGAAGTAGTAGTAGTAGTGATGGGTTAGATCATTTATCAGATGGACCCTTGGACATTATCCAATATTTTGAACTAGGCTATATGATAGAATAATTAGGCTGCTCTGAACCTCTAAAGAAAGAGAATGCACTAAACCATGCAGAGAACCATGGAGTAAAACAATGCTAATGTTAGTGGGTTTTGTGAACTAGTAACTTTTTATCTCTTAAATTGTTTGCAAGATCCAGTACTAGATTTCCTCAAGATTAACACTTTAACCAAAGAACTGGTCATAAAGTCACCATAGACAAAAATGTGGAACAAATCAGTGTTGATAAATAACAAGTGTTGCGCTTGAATATTTTAGAACAGCCATGTCCAAAGTCGATCCTCGAGAGCCACTGAGCCAGCAGATTTTAGAGGTTTCCGTGCTTCATCACGGCTGATTTCCCTTAATAGCTGATTAACAGACTTTTGTTGAACTGCATTCAACAAAATCAGCTGTACTGAGGGCAAGAAACATATGCTGAATTCGAATTTAGCGGCTGCAACCTCCGAAGGCCAAATTCGTCAGCTGACTACGTCATAGCGCAGTGCCGATGACGCAGCCGACAAATGCAGCCTTCTTTTTTCCATTTTAAAGGACGGTCCGCTGTCTCCTACGTAGTCTTGGGTATGCCATGATTGGCATTGGCATTGCAAGTCCAAGCAAGACAGATGTTCCGTGCTCAGAGGAAAAAGATAAATGGCACCAGTGGTGAATATTGTAAGTGCGGTTTAATATAATAGAAGTATGTGAATAGTTCTGTCTGAAATTAATGAAATTAGTTGTTTAAAATGGTTATTGAGTAAGATAACTAGTAGTGGGTAATGTTTGGTTTAGAGAAAGGTTTTATCTGTCCCTGTGCAAATGGGTTTGACTGACTTTTAAGCACTGTGTAGTGTGGGGACTATAAATCTGATATTCGTGATGACGGTGCTGCTGCTGAAGCTCCTTAAAAATTTTATTAGCACCCAGAATATAAGTGAGAAGTTCGGTATTCATTTTTTTTTTGCCTGTTTTGTGTGTCATATCTCACAGTTGCAAGGTGACAGTGCGTACGGTCTGATAAAAGCCTGAGAAGACTGGACCTGTTTGAATCCATAGCAAAAGCACTTTCCGGCCTCCTTATTTTCACGGACCTCTAAGTCCTTGGAGGATGCAGCCTCTGAAATCCAACGCACCCATTGAAAAGTGGTAGAACAGCGGCACTAGTGGACTGACATTGGACATGGCTGCTTTAGAGAAAAAGGTATAACAATTATTTCTTTTAATCTAACTATTGCACTCCAAATTATGAATTGTCTTGTAATTCTAACGTTAGACATAAGTCAATTTCAGCATTTTTGGGGGATTGAAAACCTCAGCAAGACAAACCTCTATCATTGTTCTGGTCATGCAACAAAGGGCTGGAGTTTGTGGGTCAAACATTTGACCAATGTTTGACCCACAAACTAGGTTAATTTTAAACCAAGAGTCATTCTGGTGTAGAAATTATGTTAATAAATCTAATTGCCACCAGCCATTTAAAGAGTTTTCAACATTAAAGGTGGATAATTATTGCAATTACATGGAAATTTTGAAAATAAGGAATCTGATTCCACGTCACCTGTAGGCTCTGAGAGTCCAACAGAAGCGCAGTAGTGTCCAGGGGGACATGGGAGGCACCCTTCTGAGCTGCCTGTATCCTCTCTAGGGTTAAAGGAGCCAATAGGGCAGGGGTGTTTGTTGGCTGAGCCTGTACCTTCTGGACAGTAATGTCCTTTAGGACAGGGTCTGGGCAAGGAAGTGTTCACAGGACCCACTCTCAAATCACAGTAGTAACCTTAAAGGAGAGAACAGCTTGTGTTTTAAGTTAGGACAGCCAAAATGTGCAAGTAAAGGTCAAAAAATAATGGAAAGGTTTGCACCTGCATATGCCTTTTATGTATCTATATTGCAGATGACCAAATCAAACACTACTTTAATAAATCAGCTCTGTGAACAGGTCAGCTTGTAAAAGAGTTTCTGCCCTTACCAGCCTCACATATTATGCAAGATCCCTGTTTTTCCCTATCTTGGTATGTTCCTGATGGACAGGGCTCTGGAGCTGAACTGCCCTCTAAGCAGTAGTGACCAGTAGGACACGAAAGAGCTGTTGCCACACTTTGACCAGGAGGACACCAATATCCTATGGAGGTATATCAAGGAAATTCAAAAAATAAGAGGAACAATAAAGAAAAATAAAAAATTGGAAAACATTTTTTATAAGCAGCTAATAAGTGAAACAGGCTGTGGATTGACCTTGTCTGCAAGGTCCAGTAGGAGTCCTGAGACCTGCTTCTTCACAGTAGAAACCTGCCGTACACGGCTGACAGCTAGCCTCATTAGTTAGACCAGATAGTGGAGAGAAGCTTCCAGGTGGACACAACTCTGGCTCTCCTGAACTCTCCACTAGACAACGAAAGAAGCCAAGAAAAAACATCATTCATTTTTCTATACATTAATCTTTTTAGTACAACAATTTCCACTTTTTACAGCCGTCTGTACAACAAATCACCTCTCGGGGATAATAAAGTTTTATTGAACTTGAACTTAAACTGCCATAGGTATTGAAGAGGGGTGGATGATTTATATCTTAATGTACTTGGCAGAATGAATGGGCTGAAATTCACATGGTTAAGCAAATTATCAGCATGTTAATAAAAATAGAAACACAATCAGTAACATTAGTTTTATCTTTCTAAATCCATGTTTTGTTACAGACCAAAGGGCACATCTATTTCCTTTCCAACTTCCCTTTCAACCATGGAGAAAACAAATTTAATAGACCCCCACCATATCTCAGATGTAGCATATTCCTGTGCTCTGTTTGGTTACCAAGCACATGATCTTTGCCCTTTATAGTAACATAATACTCATGTTAGATGAATGATGACAGGACAGGAAGAATTTTTATATTTTCCAGTTTGGGTGGAAAATTGCATGTTTATTTTCCTAACAGAAACTGCAGAGCTTCAGTTTTTTTTTTGTAAGGACAAGAAAGATAGAAGCACCACATGGAATTAAAGCCGGGCTCACCACAGTAGGTCCCAGGAGGACAGATGTTGCCTGTTACCCCATCAGTTGGTCTGGCCTCAGTAGCTCCTCCAACACAATAATACCCAGGAGAGCAAGGTCCCACTGGCAAAGCTAAACCTTTTGGATAGGATAAAAAAATAATAATACATTTGCATCAGTTGGTACCATAAAAACAAAAAAAGATTTTAAAATAATCTCATATTTTCTAAATACTAAAAAGTATAATAAAATTAATTTATATCTAAAATGATAGATTTACTGAGGGCTATGCAGTGGGTAGCATGGCTGTCTTGCAGCAAAAAGGTTCCAGGTTCGATTCCCGGCCCGGAGTCTTTCTGCATGCGGTTTGCAGCCTATTAGATAATCATAATTTCTGTCTATCTGAGTCATTCATTAATGTGAGAGAGCAGCTGATATTGTCAGTTTTACAACATTGAAAGTTTTTAAATAAAATTGTTTGTCTTG